CGGCGGCTTCAGGTGGGTCGACAGAGACCAGCAGATCCATTCCGCTGTACCGGGGCGATTCTCCAATCTTCCAGGGGCGCCAGTTTCATGAAAGTACAAATAATGATTTTCTTTGTTTATACTAAATTGTCTTCACCTTATGCCATTCATTGTGGCCTTTGTGCCTTGCGGTTTATAAGAAGTTCCCGCTACCTGAAGCACCAGGACAAGACGCGCTAACGGAACGTCGATTGCCAGCACAACACGTGCTGTATAGTCTTTGACTTCTTCATATTCGTTTCGAGCTTAGATAACCAATATAACTGTGTTTTCTTGCCTCGGCGTCATTGATTGGAAGTTTGGCCGCAACAGCATCGTGATCGCTATTTGAAACATTCGATGCCACTTGCCGCCGGGGCGTGAGGGCGATTCCGCCAGGCAAGAGGGGAAACTCGTTTTCATCAAATTAATACTTTTCGGTCTCGGACCTTCCCTAACGAGCACGAATTTTACTGCCTTCAGTCTGAGGTTCCAGACATTCTAACGATCACTGTCGTTGCAGGTGTGGGCCAGCATTTGCAAACACTTTCTTTAGAACAGCTCTACAGCAGGCTCCATGGCGGATCCCTGGTCGCTGAAAGAAGAACCTCTTTCGCCGCATCAGGCTGCTTCCCACCTGCATCTAGACTTCACGAAGGGGAACCACAATGGAAATCTACAAAGTGCTCTCCCTCGCCCAGCGTACAAATTCTCCACCGCGGCGCAGACGAAGGCACTACAACTACTAGCAGCATTTGCTGCAATATCAGTTGTCGCATTCTTTGCCTATATTTGCAGCACGTATATTAGAAGAAGAATATCCCCTCACTCAATCGGGCGCAAACTGGCTGCCGGCGAGGACGGCGAAAAAAATGACAAGCCAGAATCGTGCAACCCAGGCACGGACGAAGCTGCAGGTACACCTGAAGATCCTTACTCAACAGTGAATCCAGGTTCACATGCGTCTTCTCCCGCCGAGCCCGAGCAAACCGAGTTGGCTACGCCCCCGTCGGCGCCAATAACCGATCCGGCTTCCACCGCACAGATTCCGGCTCCAGCGATACCACAGCTAGGCACAGGTGGAGAACAGAGGGGTGTTAAGAGAAAGGCAAGGGATGATGCCAGTGGGGATAGAGAGGCGAAGGCGCCCATGCTGGGTGCGTTGGAACATATGACTGTGGCGGAACTGTTATCAGAGTCCCAGCGTGCAGTTGCCGGTTTCCCTACTAGTCTTGCTGCGCTCGAAAGCGAAGGTGAGTTCTGCGAAGAAGTTTAGCTGATTGCAGCCGATTCAGAATCTTGCAATGTTAGCATGGGGTCCTTACGGGGAAATCTGCGGGCCCACGGAGCCTACCTCCGCATACTCAAACAAACCAAATGTTTCCAGAATTTTCTGAATATTTCTCTGCTGTAGACAGAATTAGTTCGACTATGTACCGCCTTGCTACTGTTTTCCGACTCTTTGTTCTCAGAAACGCCCCTTGGGGCTGGCGGTCCTTCACCGGATGATTGGCTATCGGGTTTCGGCGAAGGTATCGAGGAGGAGCAGGCATGGGGTTGGCAGCCTTCTGCTGTACCAAGTACAAGCGAAGATGTTAGTAGTGCACAATTGGAGACGACGGGAAGAGGCCAGGATCCGTTTCGCAGTGCCACACCAGAACAGCCGATTGATTTAACAACGAGTTCAAGTCCCGGAACATCGCGGAGCGCTGTTGATAGACAGCCAGTTCAGGTGGGTTTCTGGATAAATTCGACGACTGCTGGCAGTTTACCCTTACCCACCCACTGGAAATTGCCCGTCGGCGCTTCCGTTGTGACGAATCATGGATTGCTGTGAGTCGAATGCAATGCGTGCTGTGGATCAGCATCCAACGGAGGCATGGCTTCAAGCACGTGCAGCTGGGCCTTCCAGGGCTCCTACGCAGACAACGACATCACCCCCACCACAGCGGTCTGCTCTTCGAACCTTGTTATCATCCCCGCCGATAACCCCGAGTACCCCCCCCGAGCCTTCAGCGCTCTCGCTTGCAGGCTTGCTGCAGAGACGCGGGCTAGCTGAACGGGTGAGCATTTTTCTGTGTTGCAGCACCGTCGAACCATTCCTAGCGTTGGATACGCATACGGTAGTTGCTTGCTATTGCATTCATCAATTGCCTGTGCTGTTCGTGTAGCCAAGCTGGCTGAGTTTCTGTTCTTCCAATGAAAAGCAGCAGTGTGACAGAAGGACTGTGGTACTCTTTGCGCAATTGGCGTTTGTGCAGGCGGAAGCCGCAGTTGAAGAACTCATGTCTTCATTTAAATGGCTCAGGGATATGTTGAAGGGGGTTTCTGATGAAATGCTTCAAACCCATCCATTTTACCGTCACCCTGGACCTCAGATGATACTCAGCGGGAGGGTTTTTGACCCAGAAAAAGCAAAATCATTTGCAGA